CCACCACCAACACCAACACCACCACTATCACCACCAACACCAACACCAACCCCAACATCATCACTATCACCACCCAACAACAACAACACTAACACCACCACCGGCAACACCACCACCACCACCATCATCATCATCACCACCAACAGCACTGACACCACCACCAACACCAACAACCACAATAACAGCATTGCTACAGCCACCACCACCACCATCAACAACACAAACAATAACAACACCATCACCACCACCACCACCATTATTACCACCACTACCATCATCATTGTGGTGAATCCCAAGTCCATTTCTCTAACATTAGTCCTCTTGGACCACCTATTACAGTATAAAAAATACTTTCCATATTGCTGGGTGTCTCTTTGGACTCCATGTAAATAATTTTCTTAAAGATATATTTATTTATTTTAGAGAGAGAGAGAGAGAGAGCAAGTAGGGTGAGGGGCAGAGGGAGAGGGAGAGAGAGTTTTATGCAGACTCCACACTGAGCATAAGGATGAACACAGGGCTCAATCTCACAACCCTGAGATCATGACCTGAGCCGAAACCAAGAGTCAGACACCTAATTGTGCCACCCAGGGGCCCCTCCATGTAAATAATTTTTAAAGAAGCAATCTCAATAGGCACTGATCAATGAGATAGAAGTTGTTATAGCACAAGAGGTCTAAAGGTAGATATCTTCCATCCCTTGAACAGGACTTAGCCCTCGGGTTAATTTTATCACGACTAAGGTGAGTGTGGCTCTTGTCGTTGGTGCTCCAGCCCAGAGAACAATTTGGCTCCAAAGGGCCCTGGAAGTGAAGATCTCAAAATTTCGTGGAAAGGTTACCAGCAAGGACTTTGACGTCAGCCAGCCCTGGATTTGATTTCTAGATCTGTCATTTACTTTCAGAGACCTAGGGCACATTCCTTTCTGTGTTTGTTTCCTTATATTAAAATAGGAATTATTGTAGGGTTTTCTGAGGATTAAGTTTAAAAACATGTGAAAAGAGCAGAATTCTTGGCCTGTGGTAAGTACTCAATAAATAGTATTTTTTGTCACTATTTTTATTTCCATTGTTGTTTGGAGAAGAAATGAAAAGTTAAAGAATGTTTAATCAGCTCATAAAGTTGTCAAAGGGTTTTAATAGCTTGCTATAAAGTGATAAAACAGAAATTCTGCTAACCTTAGGCAAGAGGCTTAAGAGAGTCACACAGGAAATTGAATGGCCTTCATATTTTTGTATAATGAAAATTCATCCCAAGAAAGGAACACACTTATAAATTCCTTCCCACCACAGCCCAAGTGAACAATTAACAAAACAGGCAAATGCAAAGGCAGCTAGCAAAGAATGCTAAAGAGAGGCAGAGAACCATGCACAGAGGAAAAAAACCATCATTCCCAAATTTATAAATAATGGGCAACAGGTCATTTTGCAGAGAGCACTGGAGTGAAACACTCTTCATCACAGTTGGAAAACAGTTTGATTTCATTTGGAGCTGCTGCAGGTACAGAAGCTAAAGTGCTCCTTCCAACGAGGAATGGAGTCTCCAGTACCAGGAAGTAGCTGCAAAGAGCAGAACAGGGCAGGATGGTATCTGCATTTAACACACAATCAGAATTAGCTAAACCAAGACATGACCAAAGAGAAATCCTGGTGAGACCAGAGAAGTGACATTTCCGAGCCCTGCTCAAGTAAGTTTTCATTCAAGAAGAGGAATCAAAAGTTCATCTTTGGGATTTTCCATATCCATAATTCTTGTGTTGTCTTTCTGAAGTCTTGAGTTGGAGAACCCTCTGAGTAATACCGAAGACAGTCTTGTTGACCATAAACACCAGCAGGGACTGCAGTCAAAGCTGTAGAACCATTTCAGTGTGATTCCCCAGGGACAGCTTTTACAATTGTCTCTCTTCCCATTTTGACTGTTTCTTGTTAGAAAAGACTTTTTTTTTTTTTACAGTGAAGAAGAAAATAACTTCACTGAAGTCATTTTTGCCTTCTGAGACATGTAAGGTTGTTGGGGAGGGGTGAGGAGGTGGGAATCAAATTTCACCCCACCCGTTATAAAAAGAAGGTTAGTAGGGTTTTCCCTGCTGCAACACGATGCTCCAAGAGGCTAGACGATGCTCCAAGATGCCGAATAGGGAGATGTCCTTTGGGGCAAGGGAACACATTTATGAGTTTGGGGCTATGGAAAGATGGTGTCTAAGCTTAAGT